TCATTCATTCTTATTGCCATCTATTCATAACCAGCTCATTGCTGATCTCCTCCTCCCCACCCCCCACCCTAAGGAGATTTTCAGCAGCTGTGGAATTGCATGACAGGCGAACCCCTTTTCTGTCAAGGAGCAGCTGGTGAATTTAAACCTCCTAGCTTTGGGCTGGCAGCAGGGCTCCCTACCTACAGCACCCTGACAACAGCACCTAAAAAGATCAGATAGGAGTTTATGTTAATGGGTGGGGGCAACTCAGAAATGAAACATAAGAGCAGTTGCATAGAAGAATATGATCATTATCACTTAATTGTACATTTAAAAACTTCAGAGTTTCTTAGAATTTTCATTTAGAAACTTTTGAATTGATATGTTTTGCCTTTGTATTCTCAGGAACAACAAAAATTAATTTTAAAAAATGATGCTGTAAGGTATAAAAGCATGCACACAAATAAAATGTTATTTTAGGAGCTGGTGTCATGTGGATGCTCACATAGAAGTCAGTCTGGGTAGAAGAGAAGCTCTAAAGATACAAGTGATTTGGAATTTGGAGATAGGGAAAAAAAGCAAGCAGAAAACTGGATGGTGTTATTTCAGTCACGGCCAAAATGTCATGTGATTCAGTTTATTTATTTATACAGTTCAGTGCTGAGCACTTACTGCAAATACTTGTGGCTTGATAGTATTTTGTGATACTCTGAAAATAAGATAATAAGATTATAAGAAGATTTGTAATTTGGTGTTTGGTTTTTTTTCAGACTGTGTTTGAAATTAGAAGTAAGAGGATCACTTTTGTGCTAAATAAATAAATTTTGTAAGGTAGTAATAGTAATGGGGAGGGGAATCCCAGAGGCATAGAATACACAGTTGCCAGCCCCCCGCCTTAATCAGTTTGTGATAGTTGTATACTTGAGCACTTGAAAAAATATGCCTCTGTGGGAAAAAAGCCATTAAGTGTGACTTGGAAACTCAATATATGTTTTGCAAAATGTTAAAGATTTTAATTAATTTTTAGTACAGTAGTTGAAAGAGTAATTTAAATACAGATTTAAAATATTAGTATGTGGTATATTGGGAAAATCTCAATGTAAAACAAAAGTAGACAATTGCCTCCCTTAAAATCTTATTTTGAAAAAATAGCTGCTATAAATTTGACCTATTCTTAGGTCAGTCTTTTAAATGAAAGTTGTTTTTATAACTCAAACAAGGAAGAGTGAAAGCAATAGTATCTTGAAAGTAAGTTTCATTTTAATTCTGATTTATTATAGGGTAGTGATTAGGAAGATTAGAATTTTTCCTCATTGTGATCTCTAGTGGTATAGTCTGTAAGGTGTTGCACTGTTAACCCAAATGCCAAACTTTTCCAATAGTTAGAATCTATCTTTGGGAGAAAGATGAGTAAGCTCTTAAGTGGTTTGGGTTGTACAAAAGAAAAACTAGAAATCCATGGTAATTAAGAAATTCTAGTTATTTATAGCAATTTTTCATTCTCAGTTTTATGTTTTCACCTGTGGTATTTTTGGACTATATCTTAATGAATTTTTAATGTAATATTTGTCCTGGTGTGTACTTATTTTCTTTTCTAACTTGATCCATAAACTTTTAATACTCAGACCAATTAAATGCAGGCTTTAAGTTGTAATCATTATGGATTACAATTAAAATTAGCTCTTTTTTTCATAGCAAGAGAAGTGGAACCAACTTCTTGTTGTTGTAGTATGCTGTTGAGTTGGCCATAGCTGACCCTCCAGCGGGTTTTCAGGGCCAGAAATCTCATGGGAGGAGATTGCCCAGCTTTCTCCTCTGGAGCAGCTTGTGGATTTAAACTACCTTTATTATTATTATCATTATCATTAATTTTATTTAGGAAGAATATTTAAAAATTTGATCAACTTTTTAATCTACTCGCCATTTTCTACCTAAGGAAATTATAATAGAACAATAAGAGATGAGAATCACTGTAATTTCTATCTTTTCTAATGGAATTAATGACATAACTGGTGATTATGTGTTTTAAACAGTCACTTGGAAAAACACAAGATATTACTCAAAAATATAGTTCAGCATCTAGGAAATGTGATAAAATTCTGAGACCCACATAGGTCAGCATAGCAGTAAAATATAGAAAGCAAAACCTACATAGGTATAGTATGTGCTGAGTGCTGAATGGATGATACATAGAATAGAAAATACTGAGAGCATCTATGGAAGAAAACTTGAGATAGAATGCCTTAGTGAAAGAGGTAAGAATGCGACTGAGTTTTGAGAAGAATGGTAGACTGTTATTCTGAAGACTAAATAATCAGCAGAGAAACTTCAGGGTTTACACATAAATAATAATTAAGTAGTGGGCTTGAAATGGAAACAAGAATGATAGGAACTTTTTAGGGTCTAAAAAGAAGGCAGAGGTGAATTACTGGTAGAATTCTCACTTTCCATGTGGGCACTCAGGTTCTGTCCTCAGCCAGTGTGCCTCGGGAGCAGCCATCATTTTTCTGCTCGTCAATAGGGACTGAAGTGTTGCTAGCGAGCTCTGGTGATCTAGTGGATAAGGATTCGTGTTGCCAACCCACAATCAGGCAGTCCGAGTCCACTAACTGCTCTTCAGGAGAAAGATGGATAGTTTTCTTCTGTGCAATGTATAGCTTGTCAAAACTCACCAGAAGTTTAGCTGTGAGTTGATAGCAATGAACAGCAGTGTAAAGGATTATATACAATGGCTAGTAATTTCTTTTACAGAGCATCCAACTAGTCTCTTAAGAATTTTGGCTTTCACTGTCATGTGTTCAGAGTTTGGAGCGCAGACAAGGGAAGGAAGGGAAAAAAATTAGTCTATGCAGGATATAATCTTGAATATCATTGTTAAGCCTCAAGGTATTAACTGCTAAGTAATTGAGAGCTTTATGTTCATTTAAAATTTAAGAGTGGATAGATAATAACCATTGCATTGGAACAGATGAGAGAAAGAACTGTCTAAAATGAATATATGATTAGGCATAATATGTCCAGAATAAGAGATACATCATTGCAAAAAGGACTGGATGTGGGGAGGGGATAAGTAATTGTGCAACAATGAATGAATATTTTTTTTAAAAAAGTGAACTGTGGGTGGGGAGGTTTAAAATGTTCAACAATGAATGAATGAAAATCTAATTTCTCTATAAAGAGGTTTGTTAAAAATCACAATTAAAATGAAATTTTATTTTTAAAATATGGTTCATTACATATTTGAATTTATACTTAAGAAAATGTTAGATTATCACGGGAGTTACACAGATGTGACGAATTAGTTGTATGCAAACATTTACATGTATTGAATGTCTTCCTGGAGAGTGAAAACAAGTTACTCCTTGGAGGCAAGGATTTTGAAGCTTTATCTCACATACTTTGGGCATGTTGCCAGGAGGAACCGTTAGGTCCTTGGAGAAGGACATCATGCTTGAAAGGGTGGAGGGGCAGCGCAGGAGAGAAGACCCTGGATGAGATGGATTGACAGAGTAGGGTAATGGGACTAGGAGTATCAGAGACAATGAGCCTGGCTCAGAATAGGGCAGGCTTCAAAGCTGTTATGCATAGGGTCGCTATGAGTTGCACTTGATTCAACAGCACATAACATCAACAACAACATATTTAAATGTAAGTAAAAAATTTATAGAATAAATTTGCCTTTTAAATTGAGATATCAGCTTGTTTAGACTTGATCACATAGGAAGCTGTAAGTAAAGAATAGACCCATTTTTTATGTGGAAATTAATACAACGTGATTGCTTTTTTGTAAAATGGAGTAGATTAAACTTTTTTCTTCATATAGATCAATAAACAGTATAATTTTGATCAGATTCTTTTCCATCTTTTATCTGTCTAAGAGATAATGGCATTGTTACAGTAAACTAAGGGGCTTGGCTTATGTATTTCTTTTTAACAAATGACTGGAAAGAAGTATGTAGAGATTTTAGCATAAGATATCTTGACTTTTACTTATTTTACAAATATGTAACTCAGGAATAATTTTCCTGTGTGGTCTAAATAAAAGTTCCAGATCCTTGGATGCTATAGTTCTTCTTGGCTACTACTAAATAAAATGTTGATATTTCAAACAACTATGAGATATCATCTCACCCCAGCAGCAAGTTAAACAGGGCGGCAAACAGCAAATGCTGGCAAGGTTGTAGAGAGATTAGAACTCTCATTCACTGCTGGAGGGAATATAAAATGGAACAGATGATCTGACACTTTCTTAAAAAGTTGGAAGTAGAATTACCATTTGACCCAGTAATTCCACTACTGAGAATATACCCTATAGAACCAGAGCTCAAACAGATGTATGCATATCCATGTTGATTTCTTCATTAGTCACAATAGCAAAGAGATGGAAGCAACCCAAGTGTCTGTCAACAAACTAATGGATAGAAAAACTATGGTACATTCACACAATGAAATATTACATAGCATTGAAAAACAGTGAACTTGTAAAACATTACATCTTGGGAGAACTTGGAGGACATTATACTGAGTGAAACATCTCAGTCACAAAAGGTCAAATACTGCATAATGCTGTTATTATAAAATGGGGGGGGCTGCATGGGGAGAGAATGGGGAAGAGTAGATAGATAAACACTGCATTAGAACAGTTGATGGGAAGAACTGTCCAAAAAGAAAATCTGATCAGGCGTTACATGTGTGACAATAATACGGGTGCATTTCAGGGTGGGCTGAAGAAGAAAATATTCTACTATGAATAAGAAAGGAAAATTCACAGACTTTGATTCCAAGATCTGGACGTTTAGGGTCACAGTGGACATCCCAGTTACTTGGGCTAATAAAGTGCCATGTGTTTCTCTTAAAAAAAAAAAGAAGACAACATTGGTAGCTTGAATCCATCCCATGATGATGTGGATAAAAGGTTTGGCCCTTGGCTTCTCTGTAATCTCAGCCATTGAAAAGCCTGTGGCACACAGTTCTCTGAATACACAGGATCACCAGAAGCTGAAATCAGTTCAGTAGCAATGTGTATGGTTGTTACCTTAATGGATTATGCACCTTTAAGGTTCTTTTCAACACCATCTAATGTGATTGATGCGTACTTTTCAAAAGAGATATACGAAAGGATTAATAGTAAGAAATGCCTTAAAGAAAATTGTAAGTTTAAAAAATATAGTGTCTGGGTTTTCCCTTTTTGAATTGTCTTTATACAAATTGAGACTTAAATCAGCACTGGCAGAAGACTTGTCAACATTCATTAGCTTGTGCCTTGACAGTGAGCTTCCAGTGTGTAGGTGGCACCATGGCAAACGTGAATTAGCATAGCCTTGAATTAATATGACAACACTGACCTTTTAGAGAGTCTAAATTCAATTCTAGTGAAAACATTTATATTGATGATCACAATACTCTTAAGGAGAATTCTAAGCATATGTACAGATGCTAATACTGTCATTCCATTTTACATAGCCACAGATTATATGTCTTCCAGTCTTAACTCTATCAAATTTCACTAATTGTCTTGAGTGGCAGTAGTGCAAAAAGCAAGCTATCTAACTAGCTGTTCTTGTTAGTTGATGTTGAGTTCATCCTAACTTACGATGACCCATGTATGCAGAATAGAATTACTCCATAAAAGGTTTTGTTTTTATGTTCTTTTGTGTTTTAGGTAAATGTTTACACAGAAAATTAGGCTTCTCTTTAACAGTTCTTACATAAATTGTTTTGTAACAGGTTACAATTTTCATAATGTGTCAGCACTTTATATTTCCATTCTATGTACTCTTTTTTTCTATTGATCTAGTTTTCTTTCTTTTCTTTGCCTTTTCATCTTTGCTGTTGGCCATTTGGTTTCATGAAGTTGTTTATGAAAGCACATTACTCATAAGTGGTGGTATTATTTAATTTTATAAGCCACTTTACTTGACTGACAGTTGGCCTTTAGAAATAACTTGAGTTTCAAATGTAAAGGTTTTCTTAGGCAATTTTGAGTTTTGTTCTCTGTAAGGTTTTCTAACCAGGATCATCTATGATAGTCTTTGATGGCTAGTGGTAGCCAAACACTATCTAGTTCTTATAGTCTCATGTTAGAGGAGACCATGACTCATGGTGGACCATTAGTGCTCCTTCACTAATATCCTTCATTCTCTTTTGCTCCATAAAAATAGAGTGTAATAGTTACATTTTAGCTACTTATAAGCCTTTTAAGACCTCAGGTGGTGCTCACCAAGTTCGGATGTAAAATATCTGTCTTAATGAACAGTGTTATACCAGTTGACTAAGTTGTCTTTCAAGACTTTGATCTTGTGCCAGTAAACCAATTCCACAAGTTGTTTGGCTATGTGTAGGAAGGCTGTGCTTCCTATGTCCTTTGTTATATATGGATATGCAAAATCATGGGAGAAAAATGGACAGTCTCCTCCTGTGAGATTTACTTCCTCAGAAAAAACCGACTGGAGGAAGGGTGAGCTATGAGTCAAGTCTGGCTTAATGGTATGTAAGAACTATATATATATATATATGTGCAATTAACTTCCTCTGAAAACCTGCCTGAGGGTCAGCTAAGGGTCTGATCTGACTCTGCAATACACAGCAACAACATATCTATAGGGGGCTCTGGTGCCATCCCAAAGACATTTTGAATGCACCAGCTGTTCCACAGGAGAAGGATAAACAGTCTCCTGTGCAATTTACGGTCTCTTAAAATCCATTGGAGAGTCAGCTATGAGTTGGTTCTGATTCAATAGCACAAAACAGCAGCTATATCTATTTACCTATCTTATCTATATATATATCTGAGGAGGACCTGAAGCACTTGCTGCAGAAGGTCGAGGACTGCAGCCTTCAGTATGGATTGAAGCTCAACATCAAGAAAAATAGATTCTCACCACTGGGCCAATTGGCAGCATCAGTATGGATGGTGAAGAGATTTGAGTTGTTGACAGTTTTAGTTTGCTTGGCTCCACAATCAACACTCTTGGTACCATCAGCCAGGAAATCAAGAGATGAATTGCATTGAGAAAGTCAGCTGTCAGTGACCTCTCCCGAGTACTGAAGAGCAACAAAGTCAGGCTGGAGACTAAGGTGCATCTGATCCGGGTCATACTCTTTACAATTGCATACTATGTGTCATAGCACTGGACAGTGACTAGGGATAATAGAAAGAGAATTGATGCCTTTGAACTGCGGTGCTGGGGAAGAGTATTGATTATACCATGGACTGCTAGGAGAACAAATGGGTTCATCCTGGAGAGGGTGAAACCGGGCTGCTCATTGGAGGCAGAGATTCTGAACCTTCGTCTGACATATTATGGGCATGTTGCAAGGATGGACCAGTCCTTGGAGAAGGGCATCATGTTTGGGAGAGTGGAGGAACTACACAGGAGATGAAGACCCTTGATAAGATGGATCGATTCAGTGATTGGGGTAATGGGAGTAGGTATGTCAGAGACAGTGAGTTTGGCACAGAATAGAACCGGGTTTGAGACTCTTGTATATAGGTTCACTATGAGTAGCAAGCGACTGACGGCACATAACATCAACAAAACCAACAACTATGTATGTATATGTGTGTCACACACAGAGAAAGAGAGAACACACAAATAAGTATGCATATATGTCTGGAGATAGACCTGTGTGCGTTTATACTTGCGTATGCTGTCTTATAAGTAACTAGCTACTTAACCACACTTTTTAAAAAATTATTTTTGGCTCTTGTTGCTCTAAGGGTTTTCAAAGCTGTGACATTTTGGAAGCAGATCTTTATGCCTGTCTCCAGAGATGGCATTGGGTGGGTTCTTTGCTGACCTAATAGTCAGGTCCTTTACCATTTGCACCATCTACTGACTCTTCCTGGAGCTCTGTTCTATGATTCACATGTCAGAATAAGTTACTTCTGACTCAACAGCAATGAGTTTTTGAGTTGAGCAACTCAACCAGGTGATGGCAAGATTCTGATCTGTGTCTATGTTTCTTTCTCCAGATTTCATCAGAAGTTTAAGTATAATTACACCTTCTGATCAGACAGTTGAAAAGGCCAAAGGGGAAACTGCCTATATGCCATGCAAATTTACTCTTGATCCAGAAGACCAAGGACCACTGGATATAGAGTGGCTGCTCTCACCATCTGATAATCAGAAGGTGGATCAAGTGGTAAGTTGGATAAGGATTTGCTCATTCAGCAGATTCTTGGGGATCTTGATTATTGTGTGCATTGTGCTGATCACCTGAGTGGGCACAGGGGGGAAAAAGCTTCAGGCTCCTTGGATTTTTATTCTGAGTGAGGAAGATCCTCACTCGTGAATTGTGAGGAGTGATCTAAATTACCTAGCATGTCACAGTAAGAAGAGGTTGCTGGACTTGACAAAGAGGAACTTCTAAGCTAAGCTTACAAGAATCTAGTTATGGAAATGTGTTTGAAGTGGGCTGTAGGATGGGATAGTGAGGATAATATGGAATATGCATGTTAGGAAGTGTGACAGGAATGCAAATAGTGTATTAGGGGACTGAGAATAAGCTACACTTTTTTAAATGTTGGGTAGAAATGATTTTTAATTTTTGTACAAGCATTCTATTATGGAAATTGTCTTTAAATGTAATGCAGTATAATAAATTAATATTGAAGTCTTGTTTTATATATTTATATTTCTATAAAAATCCTGTACAGTGAATTGATGAAATAAAACAAGTCTTTAAATCCTAGAAAGAACATGCAAATAATAAATTCTTTGTTATACCTGTCAAAAAAAAAAATCCTAGAAAGAACATAAAATATTTAATCTTAAAATTTTTAATTACTAAAATATTGTTATAGATGTTTCCCTAGTTATAAATAATTAGAATCCATTGTAAAATCTTGATAAACCAACAAATGTCACAATTTTTCTTTTAATATTAGAATATTTCATTTTATATTGAATGTTGCACATTGATCTGATACAGTTAATTGAAAAAGTTAAATTATGTTGCACATGGATAGAAAATATTTAAGGTTTAGATATGTATAAAATATATATTTATTTTTATTTTTACTTATTGTTTATATACAATTGAACACCAAGAGAGGGAGCTCTAGTGGCAAGAAGGTGTGCTGCAGTCCCGAAGGCTCACAGTTTGAAGCCACCAGCTGCTCTGTGGAGAAGGATGGGCAGTCTCCTCCCAGGCGATTAACTCCCTCTGAAAACCTGGAGGATCAGCTGTGCGTGGTTCTGAACCTACAGTACGCATCACCAACAACATTATGTTGAATCTGACTCACGGTGACCCATTGAAGGCTGTAAATCTTTATGGAAGCCAGCTGCTACATATTTCTCCCATAGAGCAGTTGGTAGTTTCTGACTACTGACTTCAGTTTATAATTGAACTCGGTAACCTCTGTGCGCCAGCATATCTTCATCTAAAAGTAGAAATTAATTTAAAAATTCAAATCTTCCCATTTAGTGTTGAAAGGTTTCAGATCAAAGCCAAGAAGCATGCTGACATAAAAACATTTCTCAGAGTTTATTGCGCACAGGGCTGCTCAGCAAGGGGAGTAGCACTGGGGGTTAGGCTTAAGGGGTTTATATAGGGTCATTACAGTGGTTCCTTTGGGCATAAAGTTTCTGGTCTTGGGAAACTGGTTCTGGGAAATGTCCTGACATAGGATTTCTGAGTTCTGGTTTCAGAAAAACGTCCTGACATAGGATTTTCTGAGTTCTGGTTTTGGAAAATATCCTGACGTGGGATTTTTTAGTTGCACTTTAACCTCCATTTTGATTTTTAACCTAACAAGTGTCATTTGAAGGAAACTTCAGAAAGTACTTTCCCACTTGAGTGGCTGTGGCCACTCCCTGCAGGGACACACCTGTGCCCTGATTCTGATACCAGGAACTTCCTTCTGCTTGTGAAATACCTGCAGCCCGATCCATTCTGTTCACTTTTCTCCTTTCTCTCTTTGTGGAATATAGGCGCTTACCTGAGAGGTGAAGCTTAGGAGGTACGTTAGGGGCACAGGTCCTAGGTAATTTTGACTAAAGCAAGCATAGTCTAGACATTTTACAAACAGTGGTAACAAATGCATTTGAAGATTTGAATTCAGATACCTCTGCCTCCCACACTTGATCTTTTATTATCTTTTGCACTGTCCTGTACTGCCACTCATGTTTGTTTTCTGAACGTCAGTTTTCCCATGTGCAAAATGAAAACAATCATATATACTTGACAGGGTTTTAAGTAAAATCTTATATGCTCAATATTTTGTGATCTTAAAAGAGAATAGAAAGGTTAGAAAGAATGTTAGCACAGTATGTTAAGTCAGATCTGTCAGGTTTGCATCTTAGCTGTGTGACTTTGCAACAGGGGTTGCTGTGCAGTAACCACAACTTTCCCTCTCATCCGGAATGTTAGATGTGGACAGTGTTCACTTTGTAGAGTTGTCAAAAATGAAGCTATGTAAAATTGTCTAGTAAATAAATGTTAGTTCCTCATTTTTTACCTACTCTTTAAAATCTATTTTCTTGAGAAAATACTGTGGTGAACTACAAAATAATTAACATTGTTTTGTGTCATCAAGTCTGAACCACCTCACAGTTGACCATGCAGTGGGTTTTCAGTCAGTAAATCCCCGGAAGAGATTACTATCCTTTTCCCATGGAGCAGTGGATGGATTAAAATTGCTTGCCTTTGGTATTTGTAAAAAGGGCAAGGGCCACATGGGGACAGCCATATCTTACCTTTACCAACTTCACAAAGGGGAACTGTCGTCTGTGCTCCCATACCATTTTCTACTCACCTTAGTACCAGTCTTACTGCCTTGCTGGATCCAAAATCTGATGTGATAGCTCACAGACCACACAGAAACCATATTGGGGAAGCCACAAAGGTTATAATCCAGGTTAGTAGCAAAATACAGTTATACCTCTTCAAAATGTGCATACAGACACCTCAGCCTTGAGCCTCACAGCTTTTAACCAGTGTTAAAATGTTCTCCGTCTTGCCAATATTGACCCCCTCCGCAAATTGTCCAACAAATTTGCGCAATGGCTCTTAGCTTTCCTTCTGTCCATGGGGAGGGGTAGCAGTCAGCTCCTTCTCATGTCAGGTGTCTGTGGTCTGCTGTTGCTGCTGCTGCTGCTGCCATAGGTGTAGCTGGAGCAAGAATGTCTGGTGCTGAAGGGCACCGTACATTTCCTTGCTTCTTCACTTGTGTGGAAGGTCTGATCTGTTTCTGGAGCTGCTCAGTTTGTTGGTGAGCCTAGCCATATCCCCTTGTGGTTAGGCAAACATAGCCTATTTGCATATTCCCATTTGTCCTCATGGGTAAGCCATATTAAAGGGCTAGGAAAGTCATATTGAAAGGCAAACTCCACAAGATTGCAGTACAGCTTACCACTAGGCAAACATTTCTCCAGTTAACATTAGGAAGATATTTATCAGATATTCCTTAAAAGACTTCCTCAATGTGTGTGCCTTGTAAAAACAAACATGAGGAATCCTTTGAACCAAGCATGAGAGATTGAAAATAAAAGAGATTGAACCTAATGACTTTATAAAAATAACTAATCAGTAATCAATAGAACAAATCACTGATCAATAGAACAAGATATAGTAACCTTGTTTGAGGAGTTTTTGCTGTTTGCAAGTGGATTTGGCATAGAGGTGGAGCAAATAACAACTTAAATTCACATAATATGATGACTTTTCAACTGTTCTTTTATTCCTTTAGTAAATTTGTAGTACATTCTAGATACAGACACTTAAAATAGTAATCAAAAAGATTGTCAGGGTACTAAGGATAGTCAGCCTTGTAAGGAAAATTAAGATACAGAAAATAACTCTGTCCCCATCTTCAGGATGTTTCTATAGACATGAATGTCGTGGTGGTTGTTGTTATGTGCCATAACAACAACGCAAGCGACTCATAGCGGCCCTATGTACAAGAGCCCTAAACGCTGTTCTATCCTGTGCCAACCTCGCCGTCTCAAACACTCATTCCCGCCACTCCACTCACAGAATCGATCCATCTCATAGAGGGTCTTCCTCTCCTGCACCGTCCCTTAACTCTCCCAAACATGATGTTCCTCTCCAAGGACCAGTCCCTCCTTGCAACATGCCCAAATTATGTCAGACGAAGCTTCAGAATCCTTGACTCCAAGGAGCATTCTGGCTTTGCCCTCTCCAGGACAAACCTGTTTGTTCTCCTAGCAGTCCATGGTATATTCAACACTCTTCTCCAGCACCACACCTCAAAGGCATCAATTCTCTTTCTGTCATCCCTGTTCACTGTCCAGCTCTCTGATGCATAGCACATAAATGCGAAGACTATAGACATACTCTGTAGATAAGACATTTAATCTGATCGTACCACCCATAATTAACATCTCTGATAAAACATTATTTGCTGATGTAGGCATGTTTCCTGAGCTTGGCACCACTGCTCTTTTTGTCTCTTTGTTTCATATCACCAGGATGAAGGATTTCAGTAGCAAGTATGCAAAAATTATAAAATATGTATGGTTACTGATGGTTTAAAAATAACTATTAAATTTTTTTCCCCAAGCCTTTTTTCCCCCTCCTAAATTAATATTTTGTTGTCTTTTCATTCATGATTTACACCGTACTCATGGTTCCCTTTCAACAATTTCTATACAAGTCATTCAGTGACATGGGTTATAATCTTCACAGTGCTATTTTTCTGTTCTTCCATTTGAATCTAAGTCATGTTTAGCGCAGATTTTCCTTTCTAAGTCTGGCCTTCTCATATTTCCATCAAAATTTAAAAACAGAACCCTAAAACTTCCTTCTCATGATTTAATTCTAACTCATAGCAACCCACCAGAACAGAGTAACACTGTCTTATACAATTTCCAAGGCCACAGACCTTTATGGAAGCACATTACCTCATCTTTCACCCATAGAGCGGCTAGTAGGTCTCTTAGTCACAGAAGAGCCTTTGAAATAGGTTCAGCATGAGTATATATATCTTGGGAAGGGGTTTTTTGTTTTGTGGGTTTTTTTTTTATTTTTTGGTTTTGGGGGTTTTTTTTAAATGTAATTTTTATCAGAGTCTAAGGACTCGCTGCTTGCCAAGTGGATAGAGATTTGTACTGCCAACCCAAAAACATGCAGTTCAGATCCACTAGCTGCTCTGCAGGAAACAGATGGACAGTATCCTTCTTTGCATTTATTGCCTCTAAAAAACCTGATGTGGAGGTCAGCTTTGATTTGAGATAGTTCTAACTTAATGACAATGATGAGTTTGAGGCTATTTGGCATTTATCAGAATCTAGAATCCTCACTCCTGATAAGACAAAAAGATTGCCATTTCTCCCTCTTCAGTACCACTAGTAAATGTGGAATAGAGAATTTACTTGTGAAGTGGGGTTAAGCCTCTGGAGTGGGGTTAAGCTTGATCACATGCTTGATTGAGCCTATGAAACAAAAAACTAATTTATTGCCCATGAATCAGAACCTACTCATAGCTGATTCTCCTTTGGTTTCCCAGAGCTGTAAATTACAGAGGAGATTGCCCTCCTTTCTCCTAAGAAGCAGGGGTAGATTTTAGACTGCAGAAGCTCAGCCTTTGGGTGAGTAGTACAGCTCCTTATGGATTATGCTACTAGAGCAGCCTGTAAGACACTTGGAAATGAGAAAACCAATTGCTTCAAGTCAGTTCCAGCTCATGGCAACTCCATGTGTATCAGAGTGGCATTGTATTCCATAAGGGTTTTTAGTGATTGATTTCTCAGTAGATTTGTGGGAACTTCCAGCATTTCTATTAATAACCAAGCACATTCACGATTATCACTTCCAGGGGTTTCCAGAAAAATAGAATGTATGGGGAATTAGCAGAGTTGAGTTTTAATCATTGCAAGTCTTGATTTCTCCAATTAAATTGAGTTTTGAGCTGTATGTAAGGATTACACTGATCTCTTTCTTTCCATTTATTTTTTTCCTTTTATGTTTGGGTAATTGCATTTTCTTATTCTTGTTCTGTTTCTTTATTTTTTTCTCTTTTTCTTCAGAATACTTTGTATTAAAATTTACTTATTTTTATCATTTAATTGTGATTTGGGTGAATGTTTACAGAACATTTAGTTTCTCATTCAATAATTTATACACATTTTCTCTTTTTTCTTGTTTGGCTTGGTGGGTGGTTTCACCCTTCTTTTTATTTTTTTTCTTTTAGATTATTTTATATTCTGGAGACAAAATTTATGATAACTACTATCCAGACCTGAAAGGACGAGTACATTTCACAAGTAATGATCTCAAATCTGGTGATGCATCAATAAATGTCACAAATTTACAGTTATCAGATATTGGCACGTATCAGTGCAAAGTGAAAAAAGCTCCTGGTGTTGGAAATCAGAAGATTCAGCTGACAGTACTTGGTAAGTTGTTTGTAGTATTGTTACTTATTAATTAAATGACTGGTCACAGCATTTTAGTGGCAACATTCATATAAGATAAAAGCTTAATTTATTAGAGTAATAATTTTAAACACATGAATTGAAGTATCTCTAATGTCCTCAAATAAAAGAAACTTAAAACGGCATACTTTATGGGTAGGAATAGTAAGACTGATCAGCTTTTTTTATCACATTTATAAAAGAGTTTAAAAGTAGATTGCCTAGCATCATCTGTGATGATACGACCCGGAAGTCTTAATATTTTCACTTTGAGATATTCTTAAATGTTGTAGTTCATAAATTCACTTCTACATTTTTATTGTGATACATTTTCCCACAAATACATAATGGCTGCAGTGGAGAGAAAACATAGCTATGTTGTTCTCTAATTGATGATGGCAAATTTACTGATTCTTCCCTTTTATTTTGGGGAGAACTGAGAGACCCACTTTATATAGGAAATGTTGGTTTTAATTGTGTTAGTATTCTCTGGAAATGATTAACCAAGTCTGCTCTCCCCACATAAACTTTTTCCTCATTCCTTTTGCTGTAGATAACTGATTAGGTGTGGAGTAGAAAAGTATTTAAATGTCTGGAGAGTCATTCCAGAGTCATTGAGAAAAGTGTTTTGCTTTCTTTTCCCCCTAAAGAATGAATTTCTGACCAGCTTGGCATGGGAACATTACCTGTTTTAGCACTCTGCAGTGGCAGCTTCTGATACTGCCTTGGTTGCTGCCTCTGGCTGGCAGGACACTCCATCTCAAATGGCACTGGATCAGAATGTTTCCTATAGTATTGAAATCAGTGAGCCTGGACAAGGAATTAGCAAAAGAAGTATGATGACATTAGAAAGATTGTTCTTAGTTATAAAATGATGCTATCACAGAAATACCACTGGTGGATGGCTTTAATAAACATGTTAATTCTGTCACCTTATATTTGGAGTCTAGAAGTTCAAGTGAAGTAACTTTTTTTTTAAAATTAATAAGTGTGTGTTGTTGTTAAGTGCCAGTAAGTCTCTTCTAGCTCATAGTAAACCTCTACACAATGGAACTATCACACTCGAGCATCTTGTGCAATTCTTGGAATCGTTGCTATATTCTAACCCATTGGCAGTCTATCTTGTTAAGCATCTTCCTATTTGCTGATTCCTTACCAGATAACAATGCCTTGTCAGGGACTGGTCCCTTTGATATGCCCCCAAATTATGTTAATCGGAGTCTTCGCTTCTAAGGAAAATTCTGGCTAAATTTTTTTTCAAGATAGAATTAATTGTTCTTGCAAAAGTCCATGATACTATCAGTCTGTGTTATTGTCAACACCACAATTCAAAAGCATCATTCTTAGGTCTTGTTTATTCCTTGTCCATGAGATAATTAAAAATACCGTAGCTTGGATCAGGCACACGTTAGTCCTCAAAGTGACACCTTTGCTTTTTTGGCACTCTTAACAAGGTATTTTTGCAGCAGATATGCTGAAGGCCTTGTGCCATTTAATTTCTTCATAACTGCATATATGCAGTGAATATATCAGCAGGTGAAAATGTAACAACTGCTCTGGCTCATCTCATACCCAAGAATACTTGAGAATATGATTCTGAATATACCTTTCAGCACTTGCTTGCCTAGGAATATGCAGTCTTAACTGGCGCATGACAGATTACACATGTCTAAATACATGATTATATATATGTGTTTTTTAGAATTATTTACATGAAACCACTGCTTGATGGGACATCTGTACCAAAATAAAAGCAATTGGTATCAAATCCCAGAAGAACAGTAGACAAGCATCATGATCTGTGTATGTTGCTGGATTCCATAGGACCAGGTTCCAGGTTTAATTTCTGGTCCCAACTGAAGGAATCATTGCCACATAAGACAATGACTCTACCTTTAGATATTCCAGCAGATAGCCCAAAAGTAGGCCAGATTGGGTACTGATTGCATATGAGATGGCAAAATGTACTCTTGTGACAACATCTTTGACTGCTCAAAAGGCGATTTGGCCCTTTTAAATAAACTTCATAACCCCCCATCTGATTCCTCAGAATGATTAAGTGGGAAGCACTTTGTGAATGCCAACTGCTGTGGTTAAACCTATAGATTACCATAGCTAAGCAAGCCGTAAATGAAATTTACAGAAGGGAGAAAAGGTTAAGTTTAAAAGACCATGGAAGCAGAGGATTACTGAGGGGAAAGTAGCCAAGAAATGTTTGTGTTAGTTTTAACCGCCCACCCTCCCTGCCATTAAAAATAAACCTAAAACACAAACTTGCCCTTGAGTCAGTTGTGACTCATGATGTGCCACAGTCCTGTGTTCACAGGATTTTTCAATGATTGTGACCTTGTAGAAGTTGATTGGTAGTGCTTTGTTCTAATGTGCCTTTCAGGGATTCAAACCACCAGCTTTTTGGTTAGTAACTGAACATATTTGCCACCCCAAAAGTCTTGTTTCTGTCCAGGATGACTCCCCAAGGCCACCTCAGAGTTTGGAGAACGACTCTACCTTGCTCTCTTCCATCTTGTCAGATGAATCCTGGCAGAAACTCACTTGTTTTTTTTAAGATCCTGCTAACATTGCCCAGAAATTATGCCTGGATAATCTGGGAGAAAGATGAGTACCCTCCAGTGACCTATTGAAATAACAATTCATTGGCATTTTCATTTGGTTCATTATGAGTTGCTGAGTACTTGATTCTTTTGTGAAAAATCTGAGGGAGATGTGATCATAAAGTTGAGCTCCTGTGATCAGTGTGGCCATGAATCCACTGTGTTTTAATCAATTATGGTTGTGTTGCTCTAGCTTCTCCATCGGCCAGAGCCTGTTCTACTCTTTTGGATATACCAAAAAGGTCAGGGTATGTGCTTAATAAAGTGGTGGTGATAACAAACAAAGCAGAATTGATTGAGGATTAATACCAGTTCTGTGCTCTGGAGCTCTGAAAAGATTTGTTAAGACCATAGATCATAAACAGACTGAGCTGTTCAGACAGTTAAAATGGTTTCCTTGATGTAAGGAATGTGTATCCAGCCTACCAGAACACAGTGGTGGCGGCAGCAGGTATGCTGAAGGTCCTGAAGCAGCTACGTTGGTATAGGAAGTGTATTTTTCCTTCCACTCCCTATTTTGATGTAAGTTTAGATTTACATATAAATAACAAAAGTAATAGTGTTTCCTGTATACTCATTATCCTTTTTTCCCCTCTTTGACAAACAGAATTTTTTTTCTTACTGTTTAGGAGACTAGAATGCCAAATTGAGGATGCCTCCTATCTCTGTGGCTGTGGAAGAAAAGCTCTTGTTTCCTTCAGCATCTGTAGGCCAGAGATTCCTTAAAGAGTCCTATGTGTCTTGATCTCCCCTGACATCAAAGAGTTTCTTAGCACATAGGGCCCAAGGACGCACTCCACTCCTGCCAACTATTTCTTGTTGGTTTTGCGATCCCCTGTCATTACCCATTTTCACAGTTGCTTTTAGGTGTTGTCAGGTCACTTCTGATTCATAATGACCTTACTTACAGCAGAATGAAACACTGCTGTGTCATCTTTATAATGTCTGCTATATAAGGAGCATATCATTACTAAATTAGTGCAAGTATGATGAGACAGTCATGTTCCCTTACCTGGGAAGGACAGTTGGCTGTACTAATGATTATGGATTAAATATGCAGAGGATAATGGTCAGCTGTTCTGGAAGCTCAAGCCACAGAAACATTTAGGAGATAAGGCTTAATTTTCCTTTGTGGTTTTTATCTTTCTCTCTTCTCTGTTTTAATAAAATGACTTAGGAGCTAATTTTCCTAGTAATGCAGTTTTTGGGGTTGAACATTTAGACTTGTATGGTCTCTTCCTAATTAAAAACAAGTGAGCTGCTCCAAAGTGACACTGGGAAACCAGTAGTGGTAAAATTTTGTTGTTACGATTGTGGTTTGTTGAGATCCCAGACCCAGTATAACCTTGAGGTTTTATAATAGCTATTTTAATATTGTTACATTAGATGTCTTTGGTATATGGGATAAGAGAATTTTCAGTAGAAAGGCTCACAGTTAGAATACTAATAGGTGCTTGATGTGTAGAGTCTTGTTTTAATATCTCCTTTACTGTTCTTTCTATGTGGTATCAAATTGTAATTGACTACAATTCTGTGGTTAGCTACACTAACCAGGTAGCTCAGCAATTCCCAAAAGAAAGGAAAAGATAATCCCAAAGGAAAGCAAAAGATGTACATGAGTGTGCCTGAGTGACAATGCAGTAGATTCTTTGTAGTCCAGAACAGCAAACACAATTTTGTATTTATTCACTATAGTGAAAAAATTAATCTGTACAGATAGAAAAAATTTAAACCAGCCCACATTGAAAAAAGAGAAGCAGTTCTGATATTTTTCACATTGCAAAAACAGACTGAAAAGCCAGCTGCAAAATTTGTAAGAAACACCACTTCCCCTAGGTTGTAGAGAAGCTGTAAAACATGGGACTACTGATGGCTTACAAATGGCATCTCCAGACTCATTTATCTCTGTTCATCCTATGTTAGTGATACTCAGTTTCTAGACTTGCCCTTATCTCGTCACAATTGCTAAACTTGTCCATTGTCTCTCCACAACACCCCACCTTTCTTTAATCCTTGCTTCTCCTCATTCCATCCCAGAAACAGCATCTGATTCCCACTTCCCTTAGATTCTCTTCAAAATGCCATCTGTCTCTTGTCCAAAGGTTTTCTAATTCTTATTTTGCTCTAGTATGTATTTCTAGGTTGTCAGTTTAATTTTAACAGACTTCCTCTTTACTCTTGGTTGATTTGGCTTTAATAATAGTGTAAAAATTGGCTATTTGTTCATGAGTTGATGAATGGAAAGGCAAACTTTTGTTATCATCATTCCCTTTGTTACCATTAAAATGAACAAACTGCTGGTAGAGAGTCAGTGAAAGAATAGAAGACTTAAGATGGGTTGACATAATGACTGCAGCAATGGGTTTTAAACACTGCAGTGATTATGAGGATAGTGCAGGATCAGTCAGGGTTTCATTATCTGTCACAGTAACTTGGCAGCATCTAACAAACAGCTGGCATAGTCATAATCAGCCACAGGGAATCAATCTCAAAGACATACTAATAAGAGAGACTTGCCACAACTGGAGAGGGAAATCAATGGTGACAGCCATGATGAAGCTTCCTTGGGTATTGACTGGGTTAGTGCTTGTCAAAGTGATCATCTGTAGATTAAGATAATCTATTGGATTTATATCACGCCTTAATGAAGTTCAGCAGAGGATATAAGATGACTGAATATTAATTCAGGGTTGAGATTGGATTAATTACAGGAACTGGTGTTAGGATCTGCTCTTCATACATGACACATAACCTCAGATATACCTTTTTATAATATTGCTCTCTAGAAGGTATTGAGTTAATGTAACTATAGATTGCTAACTGGTCTATGCTGCACTAAGCAGATTGTCCCTGTTACTAGAATTATGTATTGTATACCCTCTGATTGATGGTAGCAGCTCCCAGAGGGATGTGACTTGGCACATACTCCCAGAGGGCTACGTGTCAAGCGTGGAATAAAAGAATAGGTAAGGAATGGAAAGGGAAGCTTCTTTGAGCCTTAGCTGGTGAACCCGCATCATCCTTGTGCCCCGTGGAATGGAGGGACACAGAGCTGCGCCTGTTATGTTGCCAGACTCCCTAATGTAATTGCTGCTTGCCTGAGCTCCTTCTTGCCTGTTTTTGTTGGTTAAAGCTAAGTAAATTGGTGCTGAGAACCTACTATGGCTGTTCTTTTTGTTAATTCTGAATGCAGGACAACTGATAATGAATTTGTGTCTGTGTAGCATGCTGTGTGTTCAAAATATTCATTATAAAATGAACACCCTTCTCATATAATGTTACCATTTTCTTCCCCCACAGTTAAACCTTCAGGCACAAAATGCTACATTGATGGATCAGAAGAAATCGGAAATGACTTTAAGCTAAAATGTGAACCAAAAGAAGGTTCACTTCCATTACGATATGAATGGCAGAAATTGTCCAACTCTCAAAAATTGCCCACCTCGTGGTTAGCAGGTACTGCTGAGTTCACAGATTTGTAGGATGGACTGTTGGTTTTAACTTAATGGCTTATGGAGAAAAGTCAGTCAGTCAGTCTCTCTCTCTCTCTCTCTCTCTCCCTCTCCCTCTCCCTCTCCCTCTCTCCCTCTCTCCCTCTCTCAACTGTGGGTGAATGGCAAAATGGTCTCCCTTTTAGATAGAACTATCAGCTGATTCAGTGAATTGATTCAGTCCTCCATAATGATATCTCAGTGTAATATTTATAGAATATAAATAAATAGTATTTCTATGAAGTTTTCACTTTTTAGAATAGTTTTAGTATAGTTAGAAACTTCATGATAGATTTTAGAAATTGATGGTAATCTAAGAAGAAAATGTTTATATTATGAATTTGATACTAACTAAATTGTAATAGGGAGCACTGGTGGCCTACCAGTAAGAAGCTGTGCTATAATGGACCCACCAGCTACGCTGCCAGAGAAGGCCGGGCAGTCTCCTCTCATGCGATTAACTGCCTCTGAAAACCTTTTGGAGGGTTAGCTGAGTCAGTTCTGGCTCAATAGCACAAAATAACAACAATAAATTTAAAAAAGATCTGAATCCTGAGTAATTTACCTAATTAATAATTCATAATGAAAGTAATAGTAATTTAACTGTGGTGTGCTAATTGATGTAGTAGGTGAAACCAATTAGCAGTTGCAACCCTTGAACATTACCTACCCTCTTTCAGTTCTCCACAATGCTGGTCTTAAATAGTTCTCTTGGCATTTTACAAACCATGAGGCCAAACTAGATGATCTAAAATTCTTTCTGACTTTGTTCTATATAATTCTTTCCTAAGGTAGGTATTTGCAAACTCTGCTGCACTAAGAGCCTTTATGGCAGGCAACCCTTTGCATAATCAGATGTGGCATTTAGTGAGTTGATATAGTATATAAAGATGGATTTTTCCCACTCTCTTCCTCACTATAGATATGAACTCCCCTGTTATATCTGTGAAAAATGCTACTACTGAGTATTCTGGGTCATACGTTTGTACAGTCCAGAACAGAGTGGGCATCGACAAGTGCACCCTACACCTGGAAGTTGTTCCTCGTGAGTATCTTGATCTTTTCCTCAGTCTAGCCAGATTAAGGGGATGGTCCTTTTGAGCAAAGCACATTATGACTTGGTTATTATTAGCTTTTCTGAAAATCTGCTGTCAGGGTCCTCTCCAGAGTACTGAAAAGCAACAATGTCAGTCTGGAGACTAAGGTGTGCCTAATCCATGCCATGGTCTTTGCCATTATTTGTTACGCATCAGAGAGCTGGACAGGGACTAAAGATGACAGAAGAAGAATCAATGCCTTTGAGTTGTGGTGCCAGAGAAGAGTTTTTAGCATACCATGGACCACGAAGAAAACAAGTAGGTCTATTTTAGAGAGGGTGAAACCAAGTTTCTCCTTGGAGGTGAGGATTTTAAAGCTCTGTCCCACATACTTTGGGCACATGGTCAGGAGGGACTGGTCCCTGGAGAAGAACATCATGCTCGCAAGAGTGGAGGGACAGTGCAGGAGAGGAAGACCTCAGATGAGATAGATTGATACAGTAACTGGGGTAATGGAGGTTGATTTGTCAGAATCAGTGAGATTGGCTCAAGAGAGGGCAGGCTTCAGAGCTATTGTACATAGGGTAGTATGAGTCACAGGCAACTTAATGGCCCATAACAGCACAACATATGGAAAGAAAAAAAATACATACTGTTATTAATAATATCTTCATTATTGTAGAGATATTTAAGAAGATAAGAGTTGCCAGGTCTATTATTGGGTGCCATATTTAATAATTGTTAAGTGCAAGCAGCACTTAGAACATTTTTACATGCAAAAGAACAAACAAGTATGCCTTGGAGAAAGTGTGACCAGGAAGCAAGGAGGGTGAAGCTTGGTCTCACATATTTTGGGCATGTTGTTAGGAGGACCAGTTTTTGAAGGAGGACATGAGCTCAGAAAGATGGAGGGAAGATCAGTGTAGGAGAGGGAGACCCATAACAAGATGGATTGGTTTGCCAAGTTTTAACAGTGGGCTGAAATATACTGAGATGGTTAGGGTCGCACTGAATAGGTCAAAGTTGAGGTCTCTTGTTCATAGAGTCACAGATGACTCAGTGGCACATAAAATCAGTCTGGACAGCTTTGACTGTGAAAATAATTTATCTTTGTTTTCTTTTTGTGTTTGATGTAGATTCTATGCTTGATTCCCTTACCTGTTAAAAGATTAAATAATTTCTGATTATTGAAAATCAGACTGTCAATGTGTATCCTACCTTCACTGTGAATAATATTTTAACTTAATTATATTCTTATTAACCTCTTATTCTAGCTTCAAATAGAGCTGGAACAATTGCAGGAGCTATTATAGGAACTTTGCTTGCTCTAGTGCTCATTGGTCTTCTTATCTTTTGCTGCCATAAAAAGCGCAGAGAAGAAAAATATGAAAAGGAAGTTCATCATGATATCAGGTAATTAAATAAAATATGTGTTGATGGATGTCTCCCAAATTTATTGTCTTTAAAGCATTGGTTCTCTTAATCATTCAAAGAAAATATTATGCAACGATTTGTTCAAAGCTTTATCTCCTCTTCTCATTTGAAAACTTTTCCTTTCTATTTCAAATGTGAGAATTAGCCACTTTCTCAGATTTCTTGACACTACTTTGTGAACCACTGCAGTATGATTATCTCAAGATGTACCAGCCATCTTTCAATAAATGATAGGTAATAAGAGTTTAAAAAAGAGGGAGCTCTGGTGGCCTAGTGGCAAGAAGCTGCAACTACAATCCCAGAGGTGCACGGTTCGAATCCACCAGATGCTCTGCCAGGGAAGGAGGGGCAATCTCCTCCTGTACCAGTCAGATCTGATTTGATGGTACACGCACACATACACACACAAAAATAATAAAAAAATAAAATTAAAAAAAAAATAAAGAGTTTAAAAAAGAATAAAAGGACACATGTTGATGTTTTCAAGAAGACCTTATATGTGCAATATAGGTAGTTCACAGAACTTCTGCAGTGTGATTTTACTTTCTCAGATGTTCAAAACCTTGGTATCTTAAATAGAAGTGTGCATATGACTTAAATAACATCCTGGAATTTGACATTTTGGTAGATTTGGCAACTTGTGCTTTAAAAATGACCACAATTAACTCAGTTAAATAGTTGCAATGTACTTACGCTTCAATTTCCAATACTTACAAGCCTAACTCTGTAAGCTTGTATACTGTGATGTTAAATAACTTCCATAGCAAAAAGATTTTCTTTCTTTTTTAATGGTAGCCTTACATTTGTGCTTTATCAACTCTTTAAGGTGATACATGAATCTAACCAGTTTGTATACTTAAATTAAGGACAAATGCAAAGTTCATGACTTTGCCACTGTTCTGCTTTGACTTTTTTCCTGGTTCTATATTTTATATAGATGATTATTTTTATATTCTTAGTATATACTAGTAATATGGTATGATATTTTTATCCCATTTCTTACGATAACCTGTTTTACATAACTAGATTTTAAAACGAACAAAGCTCCTATAAAAACCTTGCAGTTTTAACTTGTATTGATTGGGGTTTTCACTTTCCAGGGAAGATGTGCCTCCTCCAAAGAGCCGGACATCCACTGCCAGGAGCTACATTGGCAGCAACCATTCATCCCTGGGATCCATGTCTCCTTCCAACATGGAAGGCTATGCCAAGACTCAGTATAACCAAGTACCAAGTGAAGACTTTGAACGTGCTCCCCAGAGCCCGACTCTCCCACCCACTAAGATAGCTGCCCCTAATCTCAGTAGAATGGGAGCGGTACCTGTGATGATTCCAGCACAGAGCAGGGACGGCTCCATAGTATAGAGCCTGTGCTCTCCATGCTGCTTTTCTTCTTTTGAAATGATGCATACACACCTCTCATGTTCAAAATGTCTTGACCAGATTCAAAAGGTAGCAAGATATTCAAAAGAAGTAATCAGAAACACTTTGGCATTTATTTTTAAAAACTTTGGTTACACTTAAACAGTAAAGACTTTATTAAAGTCACTCACGATAAACTGTACAAAAAAGATTTTCTTCAGGAGAATGATTTGATAAGTTTCCAAATACTGATTCCTAAGATGTAGCACTTTGAATTTGAAACTATAGCTGTAGAAATTGGTAAACTTAAACAGAATACACACTACACTGATAATTGTATTATCTGAAAATGGTACTTTATAATAACTTCAATTCATTCCTGCATGTTTTTCTCATTTAATTTTGGTTCAGTAGTCCCTTTCCAAAATTGGTAAGGAAACTTTCATGGCAAGAATCTTTATATAAATAAATACTTGTTCTTTATTTTGTAGCTTATTTAAAAAACTATTTGGAAAATTTTTAATAGCTCAGAAAAAAACACTAAAATGTTTTTTGAGTAACTAAGACTTTATTATGGAATTTTTAATTATTCATAAACCTGTCTATGAAATAATTTCTTTAATATTGAACCAATAAACTGCTATAGGGCCAGGGACATAGTCAGCTCTTCTATATGCTAAGGTAAAGGAGCCTCTTTTGGGTTCATTTGAAAAAGACTGGGAGTTAGCAGCCTGCAGAGATTAACCCAGTGGTTGTGTAGGATTCTTCTGGTGCATGATCCAAAGCTCTGAGGCAAGAAGCAGTGTTCATGGCAGTGACAAGCCTCATCAAAGAACTAGGTTTTTGTAGTGTGCACTGTTCAGTGAACTTTTGGACCCAGATGCTGTAAAAAGAATGTCAATTCCCAGCTAAATATTTGCTCATTACATTAGGCAATATTTTTCTAACCAAAAAGTTATGTAATTAAGTTATTACTTGGTAATTAAAAGTTTAAATTCTAATTATTGGTTGGAAATTAATTTTTTTTCTGGCTCAGGTTTTTAGAAAAGTTGCCTATTTTATATTTTAAACACATATATAAACCTTACCCTCTTGGATGCAATTCCTGGAGGATATGTTCCTCGTAGGTTCAGAATGATCAAGTACATTTTAAGAGAGTGAGTCTCCTCCAACAATTCAACAATTCTGTACTTCAAACTTGGAGGATGTACAGTTGCTATTGTATGGCCAACATGTCTTTGTGTAGTCCCAGAAAATCAAGTTGAACTGAAAAAGTCTGAGTAGTTTTGTGAACATGATTTATTATTTGGAAAAATAAAAATTAAATCAAGAAAAGGACGAAAGAGAGAAAGGAGTAAAAGGACTACTCTTTAACTGCCAAATATGTTAAATATTGTTTTAGTATAAGAAAGTGAATTTATTGTACTTCCCTTAAGTTTGTGTGAGGAAATGTGGATATGGTAAAATGAGCCAACAGTTTCTCTTTAGTAAATAAGGTCTGCAATAAATTATTTCATGAGCTCCAAAACCTTTTCCCTAAATTTTAGTAGGGAGTAGGTTTCTATTAACCTCTTTGGGTGCTGTGGTGGTAAATGCTACATTATGAATTAATGCTGGCATGAATTTATGATTAGGAGGAGTATCATATACACTTTTTAATGGTAACTTAAGCTGAATGTCTGTGTAGTATATTAGTGTGTATAGTTTACATGTTTGGAAACATTTTTTAAAATGGGGTTAACCTTAACATGCAATCACTTTTGTACTTGTGTTAATGTTTTCATCTGTGCCTTTTGGGTAATATAATTTTTATTATTAATTACTGGTGCCTATGAGCTAACTATCACCTGAAAGGTGTTTAGAGGTGAAGGTACTGTTTCTAAAAATGCATCACTGTGACCCCTTTCTGTTCTCACACTCTAAAATTCGGCCCCTTGTTCTGTATTCTTTTTGGATAGAATTAAATGATTGTTATTCATGAAGATTTTAAAATTTGAACACCTCCTGCATTCTTTTATTATATTTATAGCTTTTGATTTTTTAAACTTTTTTAAATACAAGATATCTGTGGACTCTTTTATAGGAGTACAATTTATTATAACACGTTCTAAGAGGAAATAAGTACAACACAAACTTTATTAAAATAACGTCTTTTCTATTACTAATCTTCATTTAGCTATTGCAAAGCTTTCTTTAGAGATTTCTAAGAATGGTGGACATGGGTGAAACTTTGCTACCTTGGTGTACTCATTTAAGATTTGGCTGTAAGTAAATCAGAATGTCTTCCAAAAAAGGCATTTCCTTTTAGTACCATACCTACTAGTCTGAGAAATGAGCTAGTAACTTGAAGATCTACTTTGAGTGATTAAACTTAGAGGACAGGGTGCTTGAATTTCTAGTTACTGTCTTTAAGATCTTAATTGACCTAAAAAGAGCTAGTACCTATTCCTAATAGCTTCCAAGTAATTTTCTCTGGCAATTTCAGCTGTATTAGAGATGAGCTACTTATTATGGAATTATTATTAGTCATCACATATAGGTCAGCATTGGAAAATGTTATGAATTCCCACTAGAGAACCAGACATCAAAGGTAGCACTACAGCCCCAGAGCAAAACCATTCATTTTCACCCCACACCTAGGCAACATGGCCCCATCTTTTCAAGTTACACAGGGTAAGTTTATACCAGATGATGCCGTGGAGTTACGTGGGTCTGCATCTTGGATGTAGAGTAGCCTACAGGGTTTTGGTTTATGTGTGTGGTTTGTTTTGGATTGCTTTTTCTCTTGGCAAGCTTACTAACTTTATCCATTTAGAAAGCAGAAAGTGGGGAGAGGCTGTTAATTGATCACATTGACCAATTATTCTGGGGAAATAACTGGTTTTTATTTTGACTGCCTGCCCTGGTGTTTTTAAAAACAATGGAAATATAGCCTGCTTATGTGTTAGGGGAGGTTAGTTGAAAAAAAAACCTCAAACTGCTTTTCCTATAGATCATGGATTATGAAGACATAATTTCTCCTTGATATGTATATTACTTTACTATTCCTTAATTCAGCAAATTATTATTTTGAGATTGTTGTCTAGAAATTTGGAGGAGGAGCAAGTAAGCATTTTGATTAAATATAACTCATTGCATGAAATTGGGTATTGAATTCTGTAATGTATGGCTTCTTAATAGAACTCTTCTTAGTGTCTTCATGTGTGTGTAGCATGTATAGTTGAAGTAATAGGAACATTTAATGTTTTTTCCTACTTACTTTCTGCCTCAACAGTGTTTAGGGCTTTTGGATGCCTTATTCTAGTGTGAACAGAAAAAGTCCCCATTGTATGTGTTTGATACTTTGTTATGTCATGTGAATAATAGTTTAGAAAATGTTGGCACAATTTTAACTTTTTAGTGGCTTGTGACATTATATATGTATATATCTTTAACGTGTTTAGTAGTATAAATATTTGGGGCAAGTTTTAATATTCCAAAAAACTTTGGTACTCTTTCAATAAAGGCAACACATTCTACCGTAGCCCTGTCTTGCTTGTTTGCCTCTTTTGACACTAAAATGATCTATAACTGACCACAAAGTCTAATTATATAACAGAAATAGAGAAGAAGAAGAAATTAATGAATTGTGCTTCTGTTATGTCTCTTTAGATGAGATCTATCATTTCTTTTATGGATAATAACACCAGCAACTATATGTTTAAACTGGCCTTTTGTTTTTAAAATTAAGTTTTCAAAAACTTTATTTTTTTTTATTTGAAAGTAAACCTCATGTAAGTTGGATTTGACTTTTGTCACAGTCATTAAAAGCTCCAGTCAAGGAAGCTTTTTAAATTAACTTATTTAATGATAAAAGTGTTTAGAGAAGCACAGTTTGTTGATTTTATTTGCTTGTTCTTGTCCCTAACTGAATTCAGTGATTAATACACTTGTGCCACTGAAGATAGGGAAAGAAAAAAGAAGAAATTTGATACTTCCAGTGTACACAGTAGAGAATTGATAGTTTCAAAATTTTGTATTTAAAATTTCTGGCTTTATTGGTGCAGATTTTGAAACTTGTAAGAACAAAACCTTGTTTAATAGAACAAAAACTTGCTCTAGTTTTGTGACTTTGTATACTTTTTAAATAAAGTCAAGAAAGCAGTTTTCTGCCTTGCAAAACTTGAGAGTGTGGTGTGGCTTCATTGTGCCTTTTTCTTTAAATGATTCCTGAAGTTTGAATATGCTATTCTCCCTGCACTCTAGCCAGGTTTTCTTCCCCCAGCCCCTCTTTGCAACCTCTAAAAAACAATAATTTTACACCTCAGACCATTTGTTAACCAATGTTAAATTTTACTACTAAAGGATTTAGAGTAAAGAGCACAAGCTTTGGAGTCAGATGTGCTGGACTATCAGTTATTGCTAGATCCTATATTTAGCTTCCTTTTCCTAATGCTTAAATTGAGATTAAAACAAATGAAAAAAACTTCCACATAGGGAATACTGGAAGGATCTGAAGAGATAAATGTGATGGTGATGATGATGATGAAAAACTTTATAAAAATTCTCAAAAGAATTGAGTTAACCACAATGTATGCTTAGTATAATCTGATATATTTAATTTAGAACATATTTTAATTTTATAATATATAGACCATATTTTAGCCATGCAAGCCTGACACCATGCAAGCCCAACAGACCAAATCTTATTTATGTTTAGCTAAACCTTGTAAGACCATCAATTCAGCTATGGTTCATAGTGATCCTATGAACAACAGAGTTAAACCATAATCACAAGTTTCTGACATGTTTTATCCCATTGTTAGACTGAATCAGTCTCCTTAGAGTCTTCATTTCTTTAGCTGATCCTTCTTTCCAACCATCATGACTTTTTCAAATACTAATGCATCCTGATAACATTCCCAAAGTGTATGAGATGAAGTTTCAGTCTCCTTGGCTCTAAAGAGCATCCTGATTGCACTTCCTCTAAGATGAATTTGTTCTTTTAGCAGGGATATTCAGTA